CAATTAGCAGCAAATGCATCTAATAAGTATCACTTGAGAATCATTATATATATATATATATATATATATATAACATACCACTTAAGAATCAGGCAGAGCTCAACCTTGTAATGTTAATTGATATGAGACCTATAGTGTAAAGAAATATCTACATGACGTGAAAAGTGACATGAAATTCTTTCGTCAAATGGAAAATGCAGACAAAATACATGCCAGACTAACAGAGACCAGAAACTGGAAATAAAGTAGAATCTAGATCAATTGATATGTAGAAAATTGGCAGCACATGTACAACACCAATTTGTTTTGGACTTCATCAACAAGTTTTCTTAGCATCCCTTTGCTGAGGAATAATAGAATGCAATATCTAAAGTTATCTATTTAATTAAAAGACTTGCCTCCAATAACAGATTCAATAATAGAACATTAAGGTCATTAATGATGTAATTAGGCTTACCTTTGAATCATTTTCATCAAAGATTTCTCCAACAATCTCCTCAACCACATCTTCTAAGGTTACTATCTGCTGCATCAAAAATGAGTACATAAATATATAAAATCAATCAGTCAATAAAATCAGCACAAATACTGTTAAATAAGCAATCCAAAAAAGAGAGAAAACCCATGTATGGTAAGTTCTAGACTTTGTGTTCTCATGCTGCATATTCCACTCTTATCTGAACTTTAGATGAAAAATGATTTCAAAACATATGAGAGAGCATTTGAGTTTCATCTACAGGGAACTCATATTTGTCTCTTTTACCATGTTGAACCTGAAATTAATGTTACGTGCCAAAGTTTTGAAGTTGTAAAATTTGAATAACAAACTAATACTAGGTGTAAGCTCACAAGTTAAGGTATTGAGGGGTCATGCTAACCATTTTAGATTTTAAGTGGTCAGCTTATTATCCTGGTTGACCTTTTAACATCATACGTTTAATTGAGTTTATGTTATGGCATTTGGATGCCAACAAACAATGAACAAATACTACCTTAAGTGGGCACAAAGAACATGCTGATAAGGAATAAGGTTTTGTCTTTAGGACTTCTAGCTCCAACTGAAAAAATTGTTTATTTTTTTAGCCTCTCAGCAGGGAAAGAATTGTCAGCATCTATCTCCAGAACAAAGTTCAAAATATCACAATTGTTGTCTCTTATTGTTTCAAGATATCACAAGTTAGCATAAGTTGACATGCGGCACAAAATAAAAATAAAGAAAATGGCAGAAGTTGGGACTTTATCATAATAAAAAACCTCAACACAATGGATGATTCTGTTTAGGTAAAGTTTCAATACAAGGCTTTGCACAGACCCCAACAGTTCCACCATATTTATTAAGAACAACAGCCAAGTGAACCTTCTTGATCTTGAGCTCTCTAAGAAGATTCCAGACTGACATTGAATCTGCAAAACCAACTTTCTAAATTGTACTGTATAGATAGTTGAAGCATTCTATTTAAGGGATGGGGAATAAAAGCCATTATCTGGTACAGATAATTATCAGTCTCATTACCAAATCTTAATTGCAACTGCTTTAGAAAAAAAGGCAAAAGGATAAAAAAAATTGTTCCCAAGTAAGGTGAATGAAGACTCACATTGATATCATCCAAGTACCCACAACATAAACCAGGAAAGTAACCTGACAAATGAAATTATAACATTAACTTAACAAACCACTAGAATACCGAATAGGTGACTATATTTCTGCCCCCTGTTTATTTCCAATACCATGAACTACCATACCAATCACTCCAGTAGCAGAACAAATAATGTAAGTTAATAAATCATCAAGG